AAAGAAGGAAGGAAGGAAGGAAGGAAGGAAGGAAGGAAGGAAGGAAGGAAGGAAGGAAGGAAGGAAGTCAGCCAGCCAGCCAGCCAGCCAGCCAGCCAGCCTTTGGGCATTCCTTCGGTGCCTTTAATCCCAGGATTTAAGAAGAGACAGATCTCTGTGAGTTCCAAGACAGCCGGGCCACACAGCGAGACCCTGAGTCTGAATAAATAAGCAATTGGCATTTGTACGGATGAGTATACATGATATAAAAGCAAGTACTGAACTGCTGACCCTTTTTAGAGATTGGATCCGCACAGGATCTGGGAGCGGCTGACCTGAGAGAGACAGGAGGTGGGGATTAGAAGTAAGGCAGGAACGACATCTTTCCTCTTCGGGTAGAAATGTTGGACTTACCAAACTCTACTCCTTTTTGAGTTGGGGTCAATAGCCCAAGCTGGCAGAGAACTAACTCACTGTGTAGCAGAAGATGCAATGATTTCCCTCCACCTCCCGCGTCTTGGGATTATAAACCTGGTCTCGCGCCGGGTTACGGGATTCTCAGGACTGATCCACTCCGGGGCTCTAGCTTTCTGGGTGAGAATTACCAGCTGGGCTCAAACTGCTCCCAAGTTGGGCCGACCATCCTATGTACATGGTCACTCTAACAGGAAGGGCAAATTTGCCAGGTTCGGCTCACAAGCGCAGATCTGGCAAGCTTGTTTCGGTTTCTATCTTTTCGTAAAATGCCCCGAAGAAGAGTCCAGGGATCTTTCTTTGCCGCGGCAGCAGCGGCCGGCTGTCATTGGCGCCCCGGGCTGTAACACTGTCTGGTTTTTCCCTGAACAGCGATTGCAGCGGTCCTACCCGCAGGTCACCTTCCCAGAAGATGATGAAGAAATTGTTCGCATCAACCCCCGAGAGAAGATCTGGATGACGGGTTATGAAGATTACCGGCACGCGCCAGTTCGCGGCAAATATTTGGACACTACAGAAGACACAGACTCCTACGTGCGCTTCGCCAAAGGAGAAGTCCCCAAACACGAATATACTTATCCGTATGTTGATTCGTCGGACTTTGGCTTCGGCGAGGATCCCAAAAGCGGTGTGATCAAAACACAGCCGCCCAGGGCCAAGTCCCGTCGCCGGAAGGAGAACGGCGAACGGTCGCGGTGTGTGTACTGCAGGGACATGTTTAATCATGAGGAGAACCGAAGGGGCCACTGCCAAGATGCACCCGACGCCGTGAGAACTTGCATTCGCCGGGTGAGCTGTATGTGGTGCGCTGACAGCATGCTGTACCACTGTATGTCCGACCCCGAGGGAGATTACACTGATCCTTGTTCGTGTGACACAAGCGACGAGAAGTTTTGCCTCCGGTGGATGGCTCTAATTGCCTTGTCCTTCTTGGCCCCTTGTATGTGCTGTTACCTTCCCCTCCGGGCCTGCCACCACTGTGGAGTGATGTGCAGGTGCTGTGGTGGTAAGCACAAAGCCGCTGCGTGACTGGTTTCCCTCCTTTCCCCTTCTCCATCCACAGCCACAGGCAAAATTGTCTCTTGCGTACTCCCCCATTGTCTCCCTGGTTCCCTTCCAACTCTAAAAGGCGAGGCCAATAAGAGGAGGCCAGGCTCCATGGTCCCTTGGTGACATCATTCCAAACCTGGGGTAGCTGCCGCCCCCTGTGTCAGCCACATACCCGCCTCGCAGTGTTCTGAGGAAAGGAGCCTTCGACATAGACTCGTGTATTTTACCAGCCTATAATCATGCTGTCTTTCCTGAGTCTTGGTTTCCTGCCCCTCCTTCCCACCTTTCCGGTTCTGGAGACTTGGAGAGGTTTATTGATTTTTTTTTTCCCCTCCCCATTGGCCTTGCCTGTCGCTAACTAGCATAGGTCCCTCAGAGATGTGACCGAATGATGAAAGCATCACCACAGCTTGTCGTTATGCCAGGTGAGCTGGATAACAAGCCTGTACCACAAACAATAGTACTTTGACTCCTAAAGCTCCCACATCAGCTTCGGTCTTTAGTCTTTAACCTTCCCCTGCCCCCACCCCCACCCCCACCCCCACCCCCACCCCCAGTGAATTCATTCACTGATGCAAAACAGTCACCTTTTAAATGACTTTTTGAGCCTTAAGTCCAGATTAACTTGTAAGAATCAAGGAAAAAAAAAATTCAGATTGCTTTGCATCCTCTTGGAACAGGGCTTGCAAGGGGATTTGGGTTTCTGTGAGCCTGCCCAGTTTCCCCGTAAAATAGAACTTTTTAGAATTGTGTTGCCACTTCTAAAATCCTAGCAGTACTTAGAATAACACATCAGTGAGATAAATTTTACTGATTATTTTACAAACCAAATTGAGTTAGTCAAACACAAACCAGTGTTCTGTGTACAAGTTCCAGTTGAAAAACACTAAAGTTGTGAATAACACTGTAGCCATTCCCTGCCCCCTACACTGTTTTATGTTATTCAGGAGGGCATTTTAAATACCATCGATTCAAACAGTGGTGGCTTGCATTTTTTTTAGGTGCATGTTTTTGTTTTGGGGAGGTTTGTTTTGTTTTGTTTTGTTTTTTAATTTGAGGCTCAATTCTTCATTTATACTTGAAAAAAACAAGGCCATATGTAAAGAAAAAAAACCCTTTCAATGCCTAAGTGTCTTTTCTTCTACCACACCCACCCACACTTGCCACTCGGGGTGCACAGATAAGGGTAGGTCACCAACTGATTATGCCTGTCGCTGAGCCATGCAAAAGGCTTCTAATTCGCTTGGGGGGGGCCCGGCGGACTATATATGGAATAGCCAGATCTCACTATTGAAAAGAAAAGCGAAAGCGGTTATCTATACCTAGCACAGTACAATCAGAACTCCATGGGGACTGTAGGGGACAGATTTGTCACCACTGGCTGTTCTTCCCATGGTGATTGACGGTGGAGGGCAGAGGTGGTCCCCTTTAATCCCCACCACCACCCTTTATTGCACATGGACTTCAGTCTTTAAAGGAAAAGGCCTTTTTCCAGTCTGTCAATCATACTGGGAAAATGCTCGCCATGCAGACCTTCCTGGCAGTGTTTTCTGCTCGCCTGACAGCCTGTCGTGTTTCTTTAGCCGGATCATCAGTGTAGATAATCAGCATGCTTATACGTTAATTGGGAGGTGTTTTTCTTCGTTGGGATGACTGGTTGGGGCTATCTATTGTAGAAAAGATGCGGAGAGCTGCCATCTCCACCATGGCGGATGGTGGGGGTCTCCGTGCTAGGAGACTCTAGACTGCCTCCAGCCAGCCTCCAGTGCTGTAGAGAGACTGTCCCCGGCCTGAGGCACTCTCCTTGGGCCCTTTTGCCTCTCTACTAAGCACAACACTAATCTTTGTTGCCTCAGACCTCGGTTCAAGAGCCCCTATTTATTTCAGTGAGAATGCATGTCCTGGCCGCCTAGTGGCGTTGCCTCTGTCCTTGTTTGCGCTTCCTTCCTCCCTTGCTGGTCCCCACTCTCCTGAGAGTTATTCTAGTGGATCTTACTCTGCGCATCATCGTCTTTTTGGTTTGTGAAGGCAGCGGTTAAGGGCACAAAGACAGCCATGGGGACATTTATGTAAATATGTTTCATTGCCACACTGCAGCTGAACGGTGTGTAGTATTTTCCCAGTCAGCTTTGCCATACTGACGTCAATCATTTAAGAGAAATTATTCAGATTTTATTTTTATATTCGTGGTAATAAAACCTAACCAAAAGGTTTCCTGTTCAGAAGTTTCCCTGACTCATCCCAAGCTATCCGCTCACATTAACAGATTAAAGTGCCTGAAGCATAACTCATTTACCTGTATACTAAAACCCCTGTTGTATTGATTTTTTTTTATAATAAGCCTTTTTACCTCTGTAAAAAAATATATATACAAGTGTATGATGTACATTTTAGTTCTTAACTTTTTTTATGGTTTCTAATATGTATGACCAATGTAGCCATTGCTTTGAACTGTACCATGTAAATATAAACACATCCTATCAGACTATTGGCTTTGGGGTATTTGTCTGGCTAGACAGGATAGGATGGGGTTTCCTTCAAAGAAGAACATGAGATGTGGGTCTCTTTGTGAGACCCTTCCAACCTGTGGTTACGTTCCCAGGGAAAGAATCACATGTCCCTTCCCTCCACAGGGAGAACACTGTTCCCTCCTAGTCAGTCTTCTTCCCTCAAGCCCTCCTCTGAGAGAGAGGCTATACTTCCTTTGAGATGTTTTCCACTCATCCCTGATGAAACCTGGATGGGGATGGGAGTCCGTTCTCAGAAGCCAACCAGAGAGTACACCAGCCCATTGTTTTGGGGCAACTCTCACCTAACTTTCCAGATGGCTCTTCTGGGTACCAGAAAGCTACAACAGCCTTGCCCACGAGAAAATGAAGCAGGTATTTCAAGGATTACAGAAGAAAAATGGTTTCTCCATCAAACTTACTGGTGTTTTGTTTTGTTTTGTTTTGTTTTGTTTTGTTTTGTTTTGTTTTGTTTTATGAGACAGGGTTTCTCTGTGTGGCCCTGGCTGTCCTGGAACTCACTCTGTAGACCAGGCTAGCCTCGAACTCTCAAACTCAGAAATCCGCTGGCCTCTGCCTCCCAAGTGCTGGGATTAAAGGCATGCGCCACCACCACCCGGCGGTATTCTTTTTTAAAATGAGGTTTACAGAGCCCCCTTTCCATCTTAGTTTTAACTTTCCCCAGAAAGGAAGGTGTTTCTAAGCCACTGGCAGATATCAAATGCAAGATGGCTGCTTGAAGTTAAGAAACGAGGATGTTTAAGGCTCTCCCAAGAGCTGGTCTTGGGGGAAACATCCTGAGCCTTCAATTGACCTACACTCCTCCCAGTGTTCTATAGCTGTGACACCAAAGCTAAGAATGGGAACTGAGATGATCCTAAAGTCAACGAGGCAGAGGGCCTATGCGGGCTGGCTAGTGACAAACCCCAAGTCTGTAAAGGGCCTTATCCCAAGCTTCTGGGTCCCTCCCCACATGGAAAATGGCCCGCTTGTTCCGACTGCTTCAGGAATCGATAGGAACTAAAATACCAGGAACCAGGCTGGCTCCTGCGGTGGCCCTCATTTTTATCCCTCCACAAAGTGAAGCATTCGTGTTGAAGTCACGCCAAGGAGGCCTGTGTAGAGGTGATGTTGATCGACCAAGCCCCCAGAAAGTCTGCTGTCTGATGACTACCTTTCTGGGTCGGTCTCCTTTGGTATAAATGTTACAAAATCCAAATCCAGCTACTTATTTTTCCTTTCCCCCTTGCTAAGGGAGACAAAATCCTACCAGAAGCAGGAGTCTAATCTCGAGTTGGTCTGTCAAGGAGGTTGAGCTGGAACAATCTTGTATCGTAAAACAAACCACTTTTTTTTTTTTAAGTTTCATTTTTATTTGTGCATGAAGGATTTTTTTTGGGGGGGGTTGTTTGTGGTTTTTTTATATGTTGGTGTAAATATATGCAAGTGTCCATGGAGGCCAGAAAAGACTATCAGATCCCCTGGAGGTGTAAGTGGCTGTGAGCCGTCCTACAGACAGGCATGGACCACTCTTCACTGCTGAGCCTCCTTTTAAACCCATGGTCATTTCTGCCCCCTCCCCAACATCTGTTGAATTTATTCAGTGACACAAAACATTTACTTTTAAAGTGACTTTGAAGTATTGATCCTTGAGACAATATGTTGAAGCAAAGATGACTCCAGAGCCACTCAGCAGGTAAGAGCATTTGACTCACCGTTAGAGGGCTCGCCTGCAGTTCTCAGCGCCATCTGTGGGCACCAGGTACATAACAAGTACACATACACACATACATAAAACATTCATACAGAAAAAATAAAAATCTTAAACCAAACAAAACAACAAACAACTAACCACCTTAAGTCCAGACAGTAGTGGCTCGTGCCTTTAATCCTGGGGCAGGAGGATCTCTGAGTTTGAAACCTCCTCTACAGAGAAAACCTGTCTCACAAAAACAAAAAAACCAACCAACCAACCAGGCAACAACAAAACCGACCTTAAGCAAGATTGGTGTTATGTATTTATAATCCTAACATTTAAGAGTCTGAGACAGGGGGATTGCTTTGACTTTGGCTTGTGCTCTAATAGTGAATTCCAGGAGCCTGAGCTAGTGTGTCCAAAGGCCATCCTTCTAGGAAGCCCACAGAGATTTACACAGAGGGATAAGCAGACTATCGGGTGCCTTCTCACAGGCCTGCACTAAAAGACACACATGGGATCCGGATCAACTAGTCACAAGATGCTTTTCAGTTCTGCACACCTCAGAACAGATCAACGCTTCCTAGGGCCACTCTTCACACTGATTAGTTCCCTCTGTTCTGAACGGGACAGGTGAGGTGAGAGACGGGTGTGAATGCTTGAATGCCTACAGTAACCCTGCCCTCAGAGGTTCCGTAATGTCATCTGCAGCACCAGAGCACTTCCTCCGTTCCTTGTCTGTTCTGGGCCCTGAGGAGATGGGTTGCTGAAGAAGACAGCCTGCTCAAGGCACAGCAGGCTGAAGCATGCGGCAGGTACATTGTTAATCTATCCACAAGTCACTCCCTACTTCTTTTTCTAACTGCACCCCTCAATTTGGTTGCACTTTCTTCCTGACATTTAACCAATATCTGAAGTCAGTGATGCCTGCAGAGGCACACAGCTCGCTGGATTCTGGGCAGCCAGAATGTACAACACGGAAAAAAGCCAGTGACCTCTGTCAAAGCAGTTCTGTGGAGAGAGCTGGTACCAGCTCAGAGGAACCTGCCTGAAATCGGGACACAGTATATTCAGGGGACTGTCTGTCTGTCGAGACACATCCATGGACTCTGGGTTCTCTCCTGTTAAGTCAGACCTCCACTGAAGTGGGCATCCATCCCCCAAATTAGGCCACTCACTTCCCAGGGGAAAGCATGCGCTCTGAAGCCCTGATTAAAGGACCTGCAGGACAGTTTGCTGTTTGTCATGGCATGCAAGCAGGCTTGTAAATGGACACCCGAGCTTGTGCAAGCAGCCTGAGCTACAGGTGTTTTTACTGCAGGCCTTTGGGCTTTCTGG